TGTGGATCCGTAGAATGATTACAGGCGATTAGGTGTTCAAGTATAGAACTCCAAACTGCCTTCCTCTCGCCCCTGTAGAACCAAACTTGGTTATGTTACCGTATCCAAGTTAAAAGCGTTCGCTAGCTACGGACAATGTACCTTGGTCCCCAAAATCGGGTGAACTGGTAGATGCACGTGGAGGCAACCAGACGGGGAAGACTATCTTTTATGGATACAGAAAATAAGTCCCTGCTACTGAATGCTATTTGCAGTTTTGCAGAACTAAATGTTCTTCTAATCGCTGTTGTGAAACTATTTTTGATTACATCTTAAGTTTGATCACCTTTAAATTCCAAACTTATTCAGAGGTTTTTCTATGAAACGGAACAATCAGATTTCTTGTTACAACTACTTCTTTTCATATTCTTATCAGTGAAGCGGTATAGATTGCCATTTTTCGTCAGTTTTCCTGAAGAATAAGAGTTCTTTGTCAATAAATTCCGTACTATATATCGATGTATTCGATGACATAAGCAATGGATGACATTTTTCTTTCTGCTTAAAGGAACCCAGCTATGAAAGTTCGTCAGCTGGCCATTCCATGTTTGATTCCCAAATATGGGCCGTTTTAAGAAACCGTTACTCCTTCTCATTAGACGCATGTCGAGGAAAGAGATTGACTGATCTCGTTCACTTTCTAACGTGAAGTCTATGGAAGGGTGGCATGTATTAAAGTAGTGTAAAATATCTTCTAATTCAATATTGTCATCACAAACGACAAATGTGTCGTCCATGTATCTTACGTATAGACGAAATCGATTAATCATAGAACTGAGTTGGTCGTTTTCCAATTTTGCCAGGAACTCCTTAAAATGTTGCTTTAAAAGTTTTCGTAAATCATAGTTTAGTTGAGTATGATTCTAAATTTTCATTTTATAGATATGTGGTTAGTGCAGATTTTGTTTAATTAGAATCTTGTAGTTAGAACTTTGGTGTCTTGTTTTGAACGTGAGTAGAAAACATGAAAATGACCCATGTCCTATAAAGTAGTCATGTATCTACTAGTAACTAGGTTAAAAAATAGTTCCTAAATTTCTGCTGCGAATCGGTGATTGGCGTAGTTCAACTGTGAAGGAAGTGATGTAAGTGACATCAAAAAAACTGGTCTTTCCTTGATATGTGCAGTGATTAGAGCGAATTTTGACTGAGATACTACGGTTCAGTGGTTTGAAAGCATTGTGTTTCCCAAAAGACTTGGAATTACTGTGTTTTCTCTTTAATGGGATCAGCTCTGTGAAAACTGTAATGAAACAAAATATAAAGCTTCCTTTTTTTCAAAGTTCCTTTAGCATTTCCGTTTGTTTTTATGTGATCTGTTTATACTTATTCACAGTGTTACTGATCAATAAACATATGAAAATTAGTGAACTGCGTATAGAAAGTGTTTAATGTGTAACTGAAACAAACTGTCTATAAACACATGCATAATGATGCTGAATAAAACTGAGTTCTTCATCCTTAAAAACTAACTCCAGTTAATCAAATGATTGAATTTGTGGATCCAGTATTTTAGCATATTTCATACAGAATTTAAAAAGTTGTTTTTTTATTGTTTCAGAAACACGCTTTACATTAAACATTAAAGGGATGAACATTTTACTCTTAGGAGAAAATTACTAAACGAATTGGAATGTACTTAAAAAGAAACGTTGCGTTTAACTGCTTAACTGATTATTTACATTAACCATAATATCATTTCCCCAATCAATAGCTAGCTGTATAGAATAGATGAAATGTGGCTAGCTATGAAATCCAGGATTGATATTCCACTTCATTATGGACTCGTCAGTTGAATATATCTTCATCTTAGTGCTAATGTTCACACTGATACTCAAATGCAGTGGTGAATTCAAGTCAATGTGCCAACATAAACACTGATAGATAGAGACATCTAACGGAGGAATGATTCCTGCTAGTTATTATCCAACTATTCTGTTGTATCTTCGAAGCAATCCACAAGGAGTACAAATATACCAACAAAGACTGATAAAAATTTAAATCTTATCAGTAATGATATTAGAATAGTTTATACATTATACATTGTTATAACAGTTTTAATTCATCTTATTTGATGATCTATATTTGATTACTTTCAGTCCAAAAGAACATTCACATATATGTGAAATTTAAATAATTCCAACGTTTCGTCCAGCTAACTTATGTGGACTTCTTCAATCGCTGAGATTATTCAAATATAATTTTCACATATAATGACTTCTCTATACTCGGCGTTCAATTTCTGTCAAATTATTCGTTCTAATCTTGTCGAATATTCATATGAACATTCACAGACTTATAATTTAAAAAGAAGAAACAAAACAAAATCTGAAGTAAAGTATATACCATAAAGAAAACCTTTCATTTTAGACATGAATACTGACTGAATTTTCAATATTATTAAAAAGTGTCTTTGATCAATCATCTTATGTTTAAACTAGATAAGTTCACATATGTATCTATTCGATATTTTTTCTTTAATTTCCTTAACAACTAAAATGTAAATTTGTTAATTTTATAATACAAATAAATAAGTAAGTATTAAAAGTATAAACTGTGGGATACATCATTTAGATTAGATACCATATAACATTGAAAAGTTATCTGTTTATCTTAGTTGAAAGTAAAGTGACAGGAATTTGTATAATAGAAAAGATGATAAATTCATAATTATATTACCAATAAGTTACAGTATTAAAAGATTTACAATAATTATGAACAAGTAATTTTGTTTATTTTGGTTGGTGTTGTTTTATTTTAGCATGATTGTTATCTACAAGATAGGATTGCTGTTCCCATGTCTAACCCTTTTACTTTGTATGGGCTTGAGATCAGTAGTTACCTTAGAAGAGCTACAGGTGGAAAAAAAGGAAGATCAAAGAACACACTGTATTGAGAATTGAAAGCAGATATCAAAAGAATGAATAGTAACTGGAAACAACTGGAAGGGATTGATCAGGATAGAGTTGAATGGAGAATGCTGATGGGCGGCCTATGATCTTTTGAGAATGATAATAGGCATAAGTAAGTAAGTAATGAACGAGTAGGGAACCCAGAGATATTTACTAAAGAATAAGATTAATTTTGCTTAGTTAATTGGGTGATAACTGAACAGACTGATGTAAAATTATTTGATAAGAATAAGTCTAACCAAAAAAAATCATTTATTAGTCTTTGGCAGCTCAATTTGCGTCATTATCATTCTAGGGAGTTTTTGAAATCAGTCAAGATTTGAGCTCATAACTTTCATACATGAACAGACCAAATAGTTAAACTAATCTGAATGGATGATGTTACACTTTTTGCATGATCTATACTCTCCTTAAACTTTACTCTGAACTTTGATTGAATAATTATTATTCAGTCATTGATAACAATGATATTAATGTTCATCAGAAAATCAAATTCTCCTGAAAAGGATGACAAGTATTTCAAAGAAAGTTCTGTTACAGAAAATCTCCTATCCAGTACATATTTGCACACAAATATGATCTTGATGAGTAACAATTTCAACATTTATTGTCGCTCGATAGTTTTTAGAGGGAATAAAAGTTATTCAACACTGAAGATGAATTAAAATTGGTCGATCATACATCTAGATTGTATTAAAGTTTCCTGTAGTTAATTCACTCAAAGTAAAAAAAACTGATTCTAGGTTTGTATTTCAGATAAAAGGTATCTTTTGTTTAATTTCAGCAGTTTTTATAAACTTGTCTTTTTAGTAGCATGGGAGTTGGAGGCATGAAAAAGGTTTTATTTAAAAAAATATCTGAACATGAGTCAATGAGTTTGGCAGAGATACTACATACGACCGGTATAAATTTTGAACAAGATAGTAGAATTTCAGATCATCACAGAACGGGACAATAACAGACTATTACGTTTAGCAGTATTAGCGATGCGTTGTGTTTCCAAATCGAACTTATGCATTTAGAAAATGTATGTGGTAAATATGCCTCTTGTTGTGGTTATCTTTACATGTATATGATACCATTGCTTAATCATCTAAACCATCGTCTTTTCTTTACGTTTTCATATTGCGTTGAACAATCACTATTGATTAACACTATCATAGTCATTATCATTATAACTTGACTATAATTATTTCAATAATTGGCATAGATTTTTTCATTTCTTCCATTCGATCGACAACACCTATGTCCACTATAATTGATCATGTCACAAACCATATTTTGAAAAGTTTTTCTGTTTCTAAATAAGTAAAAGTTGTATAATTATGGAGTGTATTTGTTACTACTTACATTAGCTAAACTGAATTATTTTATTTACATTTTTTTACGAAACTATATTCTGTAAATTCACATGAAATAAAAAAATTCATTCCATTTAACACTTTTATGATTGAGATCATGAACCGTAGAGTGTTAGATCACCATTAAAAACCTGGAAGCACTGGATAGCTGTTTCGTCCTAGTATGGGACTGTTCGGCAGCGCGCATCTACGACCCCGCACGCGCGACTCAAACTAAGGACCTTAGGTCCCGTGGGCGAACGCTTAACCTCTAGACCACTGAACTGGCATCCAACGGTGTTAATGTTTAACTTTAACTACCATTTAACACTGTTTATATTACTTATATTTACATGCTTGTATTCTTAACAAAGTTGAATATTATAATAAATATGGTGAGACTATAATTTATAGACGACCTTTGAGTAACTCTAAACTAATCTTGAAAGTGTCCACCTAATAACTAGGACTAAATGAATGTTATAATTTACAATTATTGGTTAAGGGTAGGAATTAAATTTAGAGTTTTCATTACAAACTAACAGTAGTTATAATACCAAATCTTTATTTAGCCAAATGTATAAATGAATTTTGCACCAAAATTCGAGACCTATTATCTTATACTTGATTGTTTCGTCCATAAATTATAATCTCATCATCAATATATTAAATTATCAATATTATACATGAATTCTATGGATACACTTACACAATATTATCTGGATCCCAATAAATTAAATGACTTTGAAATGCATTACATTCAATAAATGATAAATAAGTAAATTTACTAATAATTAATAATAAACTCCATAAAATATATGTTTTATTAGGTTTAATAAATCCTGTCTCAATAGGATATAATGAATTCATTTCAGTTAATTAAGAAACTATGGTAATATATTTATTTAAAATAAAACAATCAAATCAGTTCACTGGAATGTTGTTTGTATGTTTGTTTGTTTGTTTGTTTTTCATTTATCTTCTATTAACACAATATTGAAAATAAAAATATCAATATACTACTATTATTATGTAACAGTTCCAAATGTGTCATTTGATCAACTTTTTTTTCTTCTTAGGGACTAAGAGAAATGTTATATGTTAGTAGTTAAATAATAGAATCTATTCTTAAATTAATTTTAATGTATAAAACTCAATCTATACATTAGCCAATAAGAAAACTTCTGTTGATTTGATTGTTTTAAATGAAAATTAACCAATCTTAATGTCGCATTTTTGTTTTTTTTTAATTTAAAAAAGTGATTTTAATATACTCATTTATTTAAATATTCATTCAGTAGAATAATGTTATCGAAATGATACATAGAAATTAAAGAATTGTCACCTTATCGATTAGTTTTTTTTTGAGGATAACTGTCTTTACAAATCAATCATGTGAATAATAATTATATATATATACTGGTGATTAGATTAATAGTTGATTTACAAAAAATTTCTAGTAAGTTGTTGTAGTTTATGAAGTTAAGCAAGATAGTTGATTATAATATAAATGAATAAATCTTGGAAACTAACCATTATGTTACTTATTAGTAGGTACATAATCATTATTCACATGGTTTGTAAATTACATACTTACTTACTTAAGCCTGTTACCCACAATGGAACATAGACGGCCGACCAACATACTAAAACCCACTCTGTCCTAGGCCTTCTTATCTAGTTCTATCCAATTGTTGTTCATTTTTCTCATGTCTGTCGCCATTTCTCAACGCAATGTGTTGTTTGGTCTTCTTCTCCTTCTTTTGACCTGGAGGATTCTAAGTGAGATCTTGCATTGTAACGCTGTTGGGTGTTTTTCTCAATATGTGTCCTATCCACTTTCAGCTCTTTTTCTGATTTCCTCCTCTACTGGAATCTCCCATAGTAGGTTGTTGCTGATAGTGTCCGGTCAACGGATCTGAAGTATTTTGCGTACACAACTGTTAATAAACACCTGCATCATCTGAACGATGACTTTCGTAGTTCTCCAGGTTTCCACCCTATACAGTAGAACTGTTCTGAAATTTGTATTGAAAATTCTGACTTTGGTGTTGATTGACAGACAGTTGTTTCGATTTCCTGATGTTTTTCAGTTGTAGATATGTTGCTCTTGTTTCGCTGATCCGCGCCCTCATATCTGCATCAGATTCACCGTGTTCATCAATGATACTGCACAGATATGTAAGCGATTTTACATCCTCCAAAGCGTCTCCGTCAAGTGTGATTTGATTGGTGCGTGTTGCGTTGCTATTGGAGAATCTTTCTTTTTCCTTTGTGTATATTGAGACCTACTGCTGCTGAGGCTGGTGCTACACTGGTTGTCTTCTCCTGCATTTGTTGTTGCGTGTGCGAAAGAAGAGCCGGATCGTCTACGATGTCTAGATCGTCCAGGTGCATCTTAGATGTCCAGTGTATCCCATGCTTCTGCCCCCCCTCTAGGTGTTGATGTCTTCATGGTCCAGTCGATCACCAGGAGAAAAAGAAAGAGTGAGAGTAGTCAACCTTGCCTGACACCAGTTTTTACTTCGAATGAGTCTGTGAGCTGTCATCCATACACGATTTTGCAGTTTGATCCATCATAGAAATTTCGTATGATGGTTTGTAAAGACCAATTTAATTTCTCTATGTGCACTAAAAATCAGGTGGAGACTTAATAAAGAAGCCAGTGATAACTGAGAATATGAACCAATAAATTTTTATTTAATGATATCTATCATAGTTATTCCTAAACCTGAAATTCGTAAATTCGATTGTCTATTAGTTCGTGAGTGTGCATTGCTGAATTGTAAAATAATTAAAACGAATAAGTTGTTTATCGCTCCCTGAATTTTGATATTTGATGAGACGCTATCGGATCATAAGACAGAATGAATCTCCGTACAAACTAACTATAAAAATATAAACCATTTTTCGTAAATTAATAGACATTATTAGTGTGTACATTTTAACTGAACATATCAAAAGTTGTCATGTGACTTATATGATTTATCTTTCATCATAGATCTTGACTGAAACAGTAAAGTTTTCCGTCTTCTGTTTATCAACATGAAACGTTCGTTGACACTTTTATTAATTAGTAAATGTATTTGTTTGACTATTCAGGTCTTTTTTTCAAAATTGATTCTTGGTGAATAATAACTTAGAACGGATTCCAAATAAGAATCGTGCAGTAAAATGAAATAATACTTGGAAATTTCCAATTAATTCCTTCTATGCTATGCCTATACTCCTCCTTGAGGGGTAAGAGGCACAAGTAAGTTGACATTTTTCAATGCATGAATTCATTTTATTGACATTTTCTTTAACAGCACTAAACATTACAAGCAAAGATTGATGCTCACTTCATTCTATTTGGGACTCTTTGGCTGAATGTATCCGCATCCCTCAGTTGTTTTTTCACCCCAAGACTCGAACCCAGTACCGTTCGTCTCAAACGCCATCAAGTTATTCACTTAGCTACTGAGTCCTGATCGCTAATTGCTTGTGCAATGGGGTGAAGCTTAAATTAATTTGATGTTGGTTGCTTGAATCTTGCTATAAATCACACTATTTCAGGAATTCCTAGTTCGTATATTAATTCAAATACTTCTAATCATCATATTGGTACCACTATGATTCATGTGTTCGAGACAATCTGCACAAAATGCACGTATACCATTAAGAGGCTGATCATTCGCAGTCCTAAAAATTAATAGAAAGACTCAAATAAACAATACCAAATGAATTTAATACTAAACATTATATTATATTTCAACAAAAATGAATCTATTTACAGATAGTTGATTGAAAAGACTACATACTCATAGATATATATTTTTTAAATTATACGTTTAACAGCTTTACATTAACAAAAGGGGTTTTGTGGATATTATAGTAATTTTGATAGTTGAGATCACGAATCAATTGGAGCTAGACAATCCTAGACTACCATCCAGTGTTTCCAGGTTATCCATAATCTCAACTGTTAGTAATTTATGTGTTTGCTAAATCGATAATAACGTGATAAATTTTATCTAGAAAAGTAAATGATTATGTGGAAGATTCTATGGATTGCAAATCATTTCTCATCATTAAGGTAAACAGATTCGAAGTGGTTGTCACTAACATAAAACTCCACATATAGGTCATGTAATATAAGTGAAATATATATAAGTTGGGGAAATTTCATCCTGTTAAAATAAGATAAAATTTGAATTGCAACAAAGAAAGTAATCTATACGTAATTATGATTTAAAATTAGGATTGGTCTCAGGATTTGTGATATAAAACAGATTTCAAGCATAGATTTTGAAGGAAAATTTCAAGACGAAACATTCTGAATCGCATTAATAAACCGATAATTTCCTTGGTCTATTGTGGTGTACAACATAGTTTGACTGAGGAAATTCCTCGAAATTCTTCGATATATATATATATGTTTTGGCACAAGAAACTATTAGATGACTAAAGGTGAAATAAAAAGTAATGTCATCATCCATATAAACAGAAGAATCGATTATTTGTAGTCTATATATATATATATATATATAGTATGCTGTCATGCAAACATGTCATCAAGACATTGAATACGCAACTAAAAAGTTATCACATTACCATGGAATTATCAATATAAATAAAGTAATAAATGTGAATGAAAAGATCATGGAAACAAATAAAACACACCCTATCTTTTAAAAAACGTACCTAATTGAATAAGGGAGGTAACAGGTATAAACTCTTCGTAATAGTATTATTACAAACAATGAATTGCTTATATCAATTTCCACAAAATGACGAGTGAAATCACACAACGTTTATTATCCTAATAATTTTCCATATGGAAAAAAAACATCATATTGTAATGATAAAATCACTTGACTTAATTATTAAAAGGTTAATCAGTTGGAAGAACTGATATGCAATAATAGGTAAACCATTGTTACACAATACTCACAACACAGGATAGAGACAACCGGATACCAATTTCATGGATGAAATCGTGAACTGAAAATCAGGAAACACTGGTCAGTTGTTGCATCCTAGTATGAAACTCCTCAATAGAATATATCCAAAACCTTAATTATAGCCGGACCCAGAACCTTCATTCTCGAGTGTGAATACTCACATTCTAAACCACTAAGCTGATATCGAATGGTGCATATGCCTGACTTCAATCAATGAATATTCCTCTTTCGAAATGAATCGAAAAAAATTTCACAGTTCTTGAATGAGTTGAATATGTGAGGTACGAGAGCATTCGGAAAAGAATGATTTTGAGGGTCAAATAAATTTTTATCACATAATTTAACAATAATAACAAAAATGTTTGTGGTATTTTATTCTTTTATTAAAGTTATTTAACGGCTAACAATGAAAACCAGGAAACGTATTTCTTTCTACTTTATAGTCTTTATCTAAATGTATCTGAACTCGAATGTTGATATTGATTCTGGAGCTTGAGCCTGATCTCTGTTTCCTCAGACACCTATTTGCTATCCGCTTGTAGATCTTCTAGGGTTATTGCCGGTCTCAAGTTTGGGTAAACGAGGAGAATTGCGAATGGGGTCAGCAACCCCATCCTATAGAAAAAACTTTGCTAAAAAAACGCTAACCAGAATAAACAATTTAAACCGTTTAGAAACTTCCCTGGCACTTGAAGGAAGAAATATGACGCCTCATGGTGAAAGCCGAGTTCCTTCGAAAGCCATGAGGACGATGTTCCTTCTAACAACCAGATCAACAATTTTTGTAGGTAGGTGGAACGTCCGAACAATGTGGGATACCGGGAAGACCAGTCAAATAGCAACGGAAATAAGGAGATAAAACTTGGCAGTACCGGAAATCAGCGAAACCCATTGGACCCAAATTGAACAGCGAAGACTACATACGGG